ACGTGACCTATTGAAGATGAGCAAGTTCTGTTTCTATATGTTCAATATCAGAAAAATTCCAATATTTTTTGTTTGCCTAATGAAGTCCCTCTATTTTTCAGTGAACTTTTAGTAAAGTGGACATTTTCGGGACCTTTGACAGCCCTCTCCTTGACATGAGACTGATTAGCTCTTTAATTGCGACTTTTATTTTACGTTTTTTTAATATCAGATGTAAACTAATTCCTCAGTTTGTTGTTACACGAGATTAAAAACGACCTAAATATGTAACCACACATCTAAAACTGATCTGGTTAGTGTTGAACGAAAGTCGATTAATAGGAAATAAAATCACGAATGTATAAATAATGACAGTAACGTATTTCAATAGTTATAGAAAAAACAAAATATTAATATTTCAGCAGCAGATATTTCTCTATTCAAGCGGGCTTTTCTGTTCTCAAAAGCGTGTTGGTGTGGGGTGTGGCTGTGGCTGTGGGTGTTCATCTCTCTCACACCCACACCCCAGGCCCACGCCCACATGCACACCCACAGCCACCCTTGTCATTGTTTAAAAAATGAAACTTTACTGGAAACTATTGAACTATAAGTTATTGAAAATGGGACCCACCCCCTCGTAGTTCTACCGTCTATATCTCCTGAATGGCTGATCCGTTTGAGCTGAAACTTTCAGTTTATTCCTAACTCCGATGTACCTACCTACTATAAAAATATCACCCAAATTGGTGTTATCGATTGAGCAATGTTATGCTGAAGCTGGTCGTGACCTACGTGCAATGGCTCCTACATATTTATGATTTATCTGTTGAACATAAGATTCGGTGACTGATGACAAAAATGAGTTATAGAACGTGCAGCTTTGTATAACTTTTCAAAATCTGTGAGATGAGCGATTTTTGAACAAATTATACCTAGTTAATTTTTAGTGAGATGCAAAGTTCTTATTTGAGAGATACTATGGCACATGTAGTATCAATCCATTCACACACATGCTGACAATACGTAGCACATCGAAAAAACCGCATGAAATTTTTTTCTTTGCTTTTTGACAACATTCGATCGATATATCTTATCAGAAGTACTCATTCGATAATTGCTTTGATTCAATCTGCTATTCCATCTTCAGCATTTATAATGTTACTCACCGGGTATGACTGGCAATAGTGAAAATTCCATTCGTAAATTGTAATTAATTTCCATGCTACAAGAGAAATAGACTGTAAAGATTGAAAAAGGAGTTTTACAGAAAGTGCGCACCAATTAATGAATTCTTCTTTTGTTATTTTTTCATCTTTTCCTTTCTTGCAAAAGTTCATCACTTTATCTGCAATAAATCTTACATCATTCGTGGAAATACGTTTCAGTTTGGCAACAGATTTCAGATATAATTTCATTTCGTCAACAGTAATGCTTTCTGAGCTATCATAAGCACACATTGCAAAGATCTTTAAAACAATATAGTAGAAATTGTCTGAAAGTATTAGAATTTCGTAATGTTTACATACACGATTAAGTTGCAATTCAACATCGCCTGGCAAAGTCAAAGCTATTGCTGACATGAATTCGTCAAAGCTAATAGCTCGCTTCTGATTCTTATTGAATATTTTCAATGCATAACTACAGTATTGTTTTGGTTCCCCACTTAATATAAAATATGAATAGTTGTAGCGACAACGTCTTTAAAAGTTCAGACTTACTGCGGAAATAATTTTTTAAATTCATCAATAAAACCTTTTTCATTCAATTCACCGCTTGGGCTAAACGAGTTAAGAGACAATTGACGGTAAAAGTATCACAAATCGTATAGTTTCTTACTGATTTTTGATAAATGTTTTATAGTATGCTTCAATATCTGTAGCTTTCAAGGTTGTAAATTTATTTTCCAATAAAATTGTTTGAATTTGTTCTGCAGATAATGTTGCTAGAGAAAAGAAAAAACAAGGCGATCATGAATGATGTGTATTTATATTTTGTATAAAAGTTCAGACAAAATTGAAAGCAGTGGATTTTGCTGAGTAATGTACCGCGTAGTGTTTCTTGGAAACCCGGACATTTGTCTGAAGTTTTTTCCCAAAAAAACCTATTGGTCCTATTGAGAAAAGCTACTTTAATGGAAGAGC